TCACAATTTTTCAGTATGTGTGCATATATTACATGTACATTATAAACATTTGTGACTATAAATAATAAGCATATTACATATATGTATCTTTGAGGATTGAAAACATTTCTATTTTAACATGATGTTACTTAGTCATTCAATAATAAGCCATGAATAAATGAATGAGTCTATTAACATTTGACCAAATCTTCTGCTTCTAATCATTTCTATCCTCCTGTTCACATAAACTGGTCTAGGACTACCAGGAACAAACTGGTAGTTACATAAAATAAGACTTTTAAATCTATTGCTAAGACTGGGAATGCACACCAGATGAACCATGAAGTGTCTCATCAAGCATGAAGGAAATGGAGCTATTATAAGATTTGGGGGAAAGATAGAAATTNGTGTCTCATCAAGCATGAAGGAAATGGAGCTATTATAAGATTTGGGGGAAAGATAGAAATTTGGTGAAATCTAAGCAAAGCAATACTTTGAAAGACTCATTGCAAATCAGAGCCATACATGAAGGGATCAACATCAAATCTAAACCAAAAAGTAGATGCAGGGTCCTGTTTCCTTGGAAACTACAAAGGAAACAGAGATGTGGATTACTGACTCCAAAAACTCTTAATCTGAAGTTCTGGACCAGGGTGGAAAATTTAGACTTCTGTGTATCAAAGTGACCTAGATCCTCCAGGCAAGAGGTCCATGTTTCATCTTACTGATATAATTTCAAACAATTAATTTCAGATAGTCTATGATTTTTAAAAAAAAGTTTTTTAAGTGAGTAACAAAATAGTAGCCACTTAATGAGGAGAGTTGTTTTGATACCATTAAAGCTCTGCTGTGTCCTTAGAGGAAACATTTCTCCTACTGAGTTTGCAGCTGGGTTGATGCATCTTTGATGAAATGCAGGGCAGATGTTGACTGTCCAAGCTATTTTTTACTCTGTCGTTTCATGTTCAGAAGGTAATTATTTTTGATGGACAGTTAAGCTTAGTGTCCCACTAACATCTCTCATGTCCTCTGTCTTGCAATAGCTCTCCTTAAAGCTCCTTTCACATCTTGGTTCCTTAGGCTGTAGATTAAGGGGTTGAACATGGGGGTGACGACAGTGTAGAACACTGCAATGATCTTGTCCCCAGCCTGGGAGGACTTCGACTGGTGTCTCATGTACATGAAGATGGCAGTTCCATAGAATAAGGCCACCACTGTCAGATGAGAGGGACACGTGGACAGTGCCTTGTACCTCCCGGAGGCTAACCGCATCCTGAGAACAGACTGAAGGATCCGGGCATAGGAAACAACAATGAGGAGGAAAGGGACGAAGACAATGATGATACCGAAGATAAAAATGACCAGCTCAGTGAGTGAGGTGTCAGTGCAAGCCAGCCTCAGAACAGAAGGAACCTCACGGAAAAAGTGACGTAGGATATTGGGCCCACAGTGTGTCCTTAGAGGAAACATTTCTCCTACTGAGTTTGTAGCTGGGTTAATGCATCTTTGATGAAATGCAGGGCAGATGTTGACTGTCCAAGCTATTTTTTACTCCCTTGTTTCATGTTCAGAAGGTAATTATTTTTGATGGACAGTTAAGCTTAGTGTCCCACTAACGTCTCTCACGTCCTCTGTCTTGCAATAGCTCTCCTTAAAGCTCCTTTCACATCTTGGTTCCTTAGGCTGTAGATTAAGGGGTTGAACATGGGGGTGACGACAGTATAGAACACTGCAATGATCTTGTCCCCAGCCTGGGAGGACTTCGACTGGGGTCTCATGTACATGAAGATGGCAGTTCCATAGAATAAGGCCACCATTGTCAGATGAGAGGCACACATGGACAGTGCCTTGTACCTCCCGGAGGCTAACCGCATCCTGAGAACAGACTGAAGGATCCGGGCATAGGAAACAACAATGAGGAGGAAAGGGACGAAGACAATGATGATACCGAAGATAAAAATGACCAGCTCAGTGAGTGAGGTGTCGGTGCAAGCCAGCCTCAGAACAGAAGGAACCTCACGGAAAAAGTGACTTAGGATATTGGGCCCACAGTATAGCAAACTCAAGGTAAGGACATTGATAACCATGGAACTCAGGAAGCTACTGGACCAAGAAATAGCTGCCAGTTGGACACAGGTGCTTCTGTCCATAATGAGAGTATAAGGAAGAGGATGACAAATGGCTACATATCTGTCATAAGCCATGACACCAAGGAGAACACGTTCAATCATCCCAAAGGAGAGGGAGAAGTACATCTGAGTGTTGCAGCTGGAGAATGGGATAGTCTTCCTCTTACGCACAGTGTTGGAAAGCATCTGTGGGACATTGGTGGATGTGTAGCGAATGTCCAGAAAGGATACATTAGTGAGAAAGAAGTACATGGGAGTTTGGAGACGAGGTTCTATCTGGAAAATAATGATGATGAAATAGTTCCAGCCACCGTTAATAAGTAGAAGAACAAAAATATAATAAAGAGAATGAGCTGCATGTTTGGCTCAGATGAGAGCCCCAGGAACACAAATTCAGTCACAGTGAAGTTTAGTTTTATCAAATCCATTTTTCAAGTCACCTGTCTCTCACAGATCCATCCACTCACCTGAAAACAAAATCAAACAGTCCTTATGTCAGTTTTGGAAACTAAAGATGTAGAAACTAAGGAGAAATCTTGGTGTGACATTGTGTCTTGAGTATCTGAGCTTTAGTACAAATGGAAAGTTTTGTTTCTGATTTTAGAGACAATATTCTGATGAGATGAGAATACCAAATTCAAATACTGGCTAGAGTTAAGCAGATATTCTTGCTTTTTTTAAAAGGGAATTTTTCTTTTGTCTGCTCGTAATCATTCCAAGCCCTATTCACTCTTCAAAGCTTTACTCATCCCTCACCTACTTCAAACTGATCCAATTCTTTGTTCTACACCTAACTACAGAGCAGCACAATACAGCACTCAAGTTAAAAGCTATGAAGAACTATTGCTTCACATGCCACCAAACTACACGTTAAGGCAGGAACATCAGCCTAGGCTTTTTCTGTATCACCCTGATGCAACCTTCTCGTGCTTAGA